ATACATGTTTAGTGTTTTCTGCTGATTAAAATACGTAGTACAGTTGTAAACATTTTCATGAATGAGGCACTGTATGAAATGTTTCATGGGTATAAGCTATGTAGGTATAATTATTTCATGGGTATATGAGAATGGATCAAAGTAGAATGACATGGAGAGCGTATAAATCTGTAGGGGAAGGAAGGCGGGGTAGGGGTCGTCCTCGAGAAGGTTGGAGGGAGAGGGTAAAGGAGGTGTTGTGGGCGAGGGGTTTGGACTTCCAGCAAGCATGCGTGAGCGTGTTAGATAGGAGTGAATGGACCTGACGATCTGTTGGAGTGTGAGCAGGGTAATATTTAGTGAAGGGATTCAGGGAAACCGGTTATTTTATATAACCGGACTCGAGTCCTGGAAATGGGAAGTACAATGCCTGCACTCTAAAGAAGGGGTTTGGGATATTGGCAGTTTGGAGAGATATATTGTGTATATTTTATACATATATACTTCTAAACTGTTGTATTCTGGGCACCTCTGGAAAAACAGTGATTATGTGTGAGTGAGGTGAAAGTGTTGAATGATGATGAAAGCATTTTCTTTTTGGGGATTTTCTTTCTCTTTGGGTCACCCTGCCTCAGTGGGAGACGGCTGACTTGTTGGAAAAAAAAAAATGTTGTAAGTCCAAATTTTGTTAGATTCTGTGCAGTAACTGAAAAATGCACCTGATTAGTTTCTGTGAAATAATAAGAGAATCTCTTCTTGTCAGAAATAAGTGTCAGTAATGTATAGGAGCCCTCAAGACCATTGTTAAAAATGTGTGTGTTATGTACACAGTGCATAAATAAAACTTAATTATAGCTACTTATTAGAGTACTCACTTATAATTGAAAGAATTAGAGGTAAGACAGATTGCGGATGAGCAAGGAGGTTTCAGAGTGGGTAGGGGATGTGTAGATCAAGTGTTTATAACATTGAAGCATATATGTGAACAGTATTTAGATAAAGGTAGGGAAGTTTTTATTGCATTTATGGATTTAGAAAAGGCATATGATAGAGTGGATAGGGGAGCAATGTGGCAGATGTTGCAAGTATATGGAATAGGTGGTAAGTTACTAAATGCTGTAAAGAGTTTTTATGAGGATAGTGAGGCTCAGGTTAGGGTGTGTAGAAGAGAGAGAGACTACCTCTCAGTAAAAGTAGGTCTTAGACAGGGATGTGTAATGTCACCATGGTTGTTTAATATATTTGTAGATGGGGTTGTAAAAGAAGTAATGCTAGGGTGTTCGGGAGAGGGGTGGGATTAAATTATGGGGAATCGGATACAAAATGGGAATTGACACAGTTGCTTTTTGCTGATGATACTGTGGTTATGGAGATTCTAAAGAAAAATTGCAAAGGTTAGTGGATGAGTTTGGGAGTGTGTGTAAAGGTAGAAAGTTGAAAGTGAACATAGAAAAGAGTAAGGTGATGAGAGTATCAAATGATTTAGATAAAGAAAAATTGGATATATTGGGGAGGAGTATGTAAGAAGTGAATGTTTTCAGATACTTAGGAGTTGACGTGTTGCGGATGGATTTATAAAGGATGAGGTTAATCATAGAATTGATGAGGGAAAAAAGGTGAGCAGTGTTTTGAGGTATATGTGGAGACAAAAAAACGTTATCTATGGAGGCAAAGAAGGGAATGTATGAAAGTATAGTAGTACCAACACTCTTATATGGGTGTGAAACTTGGGTTGTGAATGGAGCAGCGAGGAGGCGGTTGGAGACAGTGGAGATGTCTTGTCTAAGGGCAATGAGTGTAAATATTATGCAGAAAATTCGGAGTGTGGAAATTAGGAGAAGGTGTGGAGTTAATAAAAGTATTAGTCAATGGGCTGAAGAGGGGTTGTTGAGGTGGTTTGGTCATTTAGAGAGAATGGATCAAAGTAGAGTGACATGGAGAGCATTTAAATCTGTAGGGGAAGGAAGGCGGGGTAGGGGTCATCCTCGAAAAGGTTGGAAGGAAGGGGTTAGGGAGGTTTTGTGGGTGAGGGGCTTGGACTTTCAGCAGGCATGCATGAGTGTGTTTGATAGGAGTGAATGGTGACGAATGGTATTTGGGACCTGACGATCTGTTGGAGTGTGAGCAGGGTAATATTTAGTGAAGGGATTCAGGGAAACCGGTTATTTTTATATAGCCGGACTTGAGTCCTGGAAATGGGAAGTACAATGCCTGCACTCTAAAGGAGGGGTTTCGGGATATTAGCAGTTTGGAGGGATGTGTTGTGTATCTTTATACGTATATGCTTCTAAACTGTTGTGTTCTGAGCACCTCTGCAAAAACAGTGATTACGTGTGAGTGAGGTGAAAGTGTTGAATGATGATGAAAGTATTTTCTTTTTGGGGATTTTCTTTCTTTTTGGGTCACCCTGCCTCAGTGGGAGATGGCTGACTTGTTAAAAAAAAAAAAAATACCTTTGAAGAGTTGTGAGGGTTTCACTACTATCGGAGCCTTGCCATAGTACTTGCCTGGTCAACCAGGCTGTTGCTGCTGGAGGCCTGCTGCCCCACATATACATCACAGCCTGGTTTATCTGGCACCTGGTGAAGATACTTGTCCAGTTTCCTCTTGAAGGTTTCTACACTTGTTCCAGTCGTGTTTCTGATATCTTCTGGTAAGATGTTGAATAGTCTGGGACCCTGGATGTTGATAGTGTTCCCTTATTGTTCCCACCACACCTGTGCTCCTCACTGGGTTTATTTTGCACTTCCTCCCATATCCCTCACTCCAGTATGTTGTTATGGCAGTGTGCAGATTTGATACCAGGCCCTCTTGAGTACTTTCCAGGTGTATATTATCATGTATCTCTCTCTTCTGCTCCAGTGAGTTTGGACTTAGCTCTTTTTTTATGGAAGATATTGGGCAATTGAAATACTGCTTTATGTATGATAATTACTAAGTCTTGAATCTGATTAAATTTAGCCCTTCATCACTGATAAGTTTATAATGCAACTTCTGAGTGCCATCAAGCATAATGTATGTGCCTGTGAATTTTAGGATATTGGTCTTTCAGGTAACAAAGGAAAGCCTCTTCAGTTTAGCTTCAAAGCAGGTGTTTCATAGTGGAAAGTTTGAATTAGGTTTGGCTGTGTATGACCTAATTTCCCATTTTTAGTGAAGAAATTTGAATATTAGTTTCCATTTAATAACTGGTGAATGCCTGAAATTTAAATTTCAGATTTTCACTAAACCTTTAGTATGCCTTTGATAGTTTTCAAGAGTTTTCCTACTCCTACAGTGTGGTCCTTGGCCAGGCTTGTCTGGTGTTTGCCTGGTCAACCAGGCTGCTGCTACTGGGGGTGCACTGGCCCTCTTATCCATCACACCCTAGTTAATCCAGCACTTGGCAGAGGAAATTGTTTAGTTTTCCCTAAATTTCTACATTTGTTCCAGCAGTGTTTCTGAAATCTTCTGATAAGATGTTAGTGTCTGGGACCATGCATATTGATAAAATGCTGTCTTACTGTGCCCATGGTTCCCATGCTTTTCACTGTGATTATTCTACACATTCTCCCATGTCTCTCACTCCAGGATGTTTTTATGGCAGTGTGTAGACTGAGACCAGTGAGTGCATATTTAGGAATTTCAGGCATTCACAGTAATTTAAATGCTTTATTGGCTGTAAGCATGCTGTAAATGATCTTTAAATCTGTTCTGCTGTGATATCTCTTTTGCTCTGAACACAGTTGGCAACATTGAACAATAACATAAGTGAGAGTATTGTCACCATTGGAACTTCGTATTTCCTTTGATTTGAAAGTTCTCATTGTCCACCTCGTCATCTTCAGAGTCGTGATAATAGCCTGTGAATAGCCTGTGAATGTGCTCTGTGAATGTAAGGGCAGTTGACATTATTATTCGCAGGTCCTTTACATATTCCTTCTGTTCTATTTGGTAATCGTTTTTGAGTTTTGTGTACAGTGTCCCTTTTGAGTTTTTCATTCCATATATAAGCAGCTGGAAGTTTTCACCATTGCATGTCATGTTATTCTCCATTGCCCATTGAAAAACTTTGCTTATATCTTCTTGCAATTTTTCCATGATATTTAACTACACTTGAAACTTATGCTGCACAATTCTAATTGTGTGCATTGAATATTTGGGGATTTGGGGGTTATGCTATACAGGGATACCTTTCTTGGATCACAAAGTGACTGAGATATATCTATTTTTTTTTTTTCAACAAACCGGCCGTATCCCACCAAGGCAGGGTGGCCCAAAAAGAAAAACGAAAGTTTCTCTTTTTAAATTTAGTAATTTATACAAGAGAAGGGGTTACTAGCCCCTTGCCCCTGGCATTTTAGTCATCTCTTACAACATGCATGGCTTATGGAGGACGAATTCTGTTCCACTTTCCCATGGAGATAAGAGGAAATAAACAAGAAAAAGAACTAGAAAGAAAAAATAGCAGAAAACCCAGAGGGGTGTGTATATATATGCTTGTATATGTATGTGTAGTGTGACCTAAGTGTAAGTAGAAGTAGCAAGGATGTACCTGAAATTTTGCATGTTTGAGACAGAAAGAAGGACACCAGCAATCCTAATATCACGTAAAACAATTACAGACTTTCGTTTTACACTCGCTTGGCAGGACGGTAGTACCTCCCTGGGCGGTTGCTATTTACCAACCTACTACCTAAATCTAGTTGTTTATATGGTAAAAAAAAAAAAAAAAGTGATCATTGGAAGAAATTTAAAACAAATTTATTAATTTTAAATTTTAGTTTATGGGAAGTGGAAGTTTTTTGTAATCCTAAAACTACAGTGTGTAAAACAATGGGTATATGGATTTAAAGTTTAAATAAAAAAATCACCTAGGTTAGAAAAGGGTTTTGGTTGAAATATTAAAATGTATTTTGCAGTTTAAGAGCAATGCACAACAGTCTAAAATCTAATGTGACTTGGCTGGACATTAAGGATCTTAGTGATTTGCATTCTCAAAAATTTAAATTTCAGTATTTTTAAACAGAACTTTTCAACAGGAACAATCATTGCGCATGAGTCTACGAGATGAAGTGGGACCACAACAGGTACAACAGTCACAACAGTCACAGCAGCAACAGCAGCAGACAGCACAAACAGTAGCCCAGCAGTCCACACAACAAACCTCTCAACAACAGCAGCAGCAAGGTAGTGAGCTGGTGCTGACTTCTGCTGGCCTGACTTTATCCTCGGCCCCGCAGACAGTAACCCCAGTGACCACATCTGTGACATCCGCAGCTGATCCTTTCATCGCAACAACAGACTTTCACTCCAGGCAGGAGTCAGCAGATAGTGGACTTGGCCTGGGGACCAACTACTCTCTCCCTCACACGCCAGAGGATTTCCTGGCATCTATGGAGGATGTTGAGATCACGCCATCTGATGGTTGGTTGGCAGAGTTTGGTTCACCCTCCTCCGATGTAGAGTTGCTGTCTTAACTCGAATAAACTTTTTCCATTTGTTACTTAACTTTGAATGTGAAGTTAATTAGTTTCTTCTGGTACATGGATCTTTCTTTGTGATTACCTGTTGTCTTATAGTGACTATATTTGGAACTAATTGATGAAACTTAGTCATAACAATTTTGCTTGAATATTATTGTACAAATGTAAGGGCTTATTGGTACAGCTATTTGCAAGAAGCACTTTTTTTTTTTTCCAATTGGCATTAGCTCTCTTCTGTATCTCAGTTTTTTGTATAGTATGCAAATTATGGTATATAATGAGATATATTTTGCAAGTTAAATGGCATATGTAATTTATCAGAGTACATTAGATGTTACTAATAGGGACTTTAGAGTAATTGTATTATTTTAAAATGCTGCTGCAGTTTAATTGGGATTAATGAAGGTGTGTCATTTGTATTCTTGGTAGTGGTGTAATGTTAAAATATTTGGTTAGACTACTTGCCTTACTGCATTACTGTATTTCTTAAATATTTATGGGTAGATGATAAATTCTAAGTTTTGTAGAATTACTTGTGAGTAAATTTGGTAAGAAAATAAATGATTACTGAATTTGATTAAATGAATTTATCTGATATTTTAACATCTGTTATAAGTTAAGGTCCTGCAGAGCTAACATTATTTATATTAAGCATAGGCACTTAGAGATTAGAATCCTAGATGTTGAGATACTTGAATATGAAAATATAATTCATGTAATTTGTTTTCATTAGTGTAATTGTTTTTAACAAGTCACCTTAGTTGATAATCAAAATCCTGTTATTTAATGTTATACCCATTTTATTTAGCTGGTATTGTAGCAATGGAGTTTACTTGTACTTAATTTGGTATTGGGTTAATCATATAATTTTTCAAATTGTTTTAGCAATACAAAATACTGTAGTTTATAATTCATAGCAGGTGGACAAAACTTGCAACTTCTTAGGGCATTTATAAAAGAGCAACCAATGTTCTGATGAAAAATCAGTCGGTGTCATCAGGAGTCATTACCAGAACACAATACGTACAACAATAGATAATGTACTAAAAGTAAAATAGCCAGGTTGGGAAGTGTCAAATGTTCTATACAAAATAAGGTGATTACTATCTGAGGAGAGTTACACTAATGTGCAAAGCATAACAAGTCATTAGAAGTACAATAAGGCAATAGCAATCAAGGAGTATAGTGGTTATATGTCTTCCAGTACTCAGGTACATATCTAACATAAAATAACAGAAAGCTAGACTCTCCAGAAAAAGGATAAATTTAAGTTATTTCAAAGTAAACTTTAGCTAAAATTTTAAAATAATTTGGACTTGGGTGAGTGACTGAGACTTGAAATGAATTCTGTTGCTGAGTGAGGAAGTTGGCGAGAGATGTAAAGCTTCTGTATGATAGACCCCCTTCCTTTTATTTTTAACCTTGGTGGCCATCTGCCATCAAGACAAGTGACCCAAAGAAAACACATTCACTTTCATTCAATTGCTGTCTTGCCAGAAGTATACTAAAATCACAATTTAGATCACCCTTTGACTACAACAGAGTGCAGGTACTGCCCTTCCCACCTCCAGGAATCGTATCTGGCTAATTGGGTTCCCCGAATCTCTGCATAACTGTTAAATTGCTCATTCTAACAACCCATCCATTAAAACCACTGTTTCCATTCACTCTTTTCTAGCACAATCACACAAGCCTGCTGGATGTTCAAGCCCTTAAAACTCAAAACATCTTAAACCCCCTCCAGCCAATCCTGGAATGACCTCCTTGCCCTTCTACTTTCCATTTTAAATTTATACACCCTCTTTGTCAACCTATCCATGATCATCCTGTCTACATGTCCAAACCATTTCTACAACACATCAGCCCTCTAAATTATACCTTTGGTGATCTATTGCATTTTAATTTCTACTTTCTGAATTCTCTGTGATATTCACTACATGTTGCTCTCCAGCATGACATCTCCACTGCCTCTAGCTTCCTCTTTACTCCAGTGTTCAAAGCCAGTGATTTGTGTCTCCAAAGATAAACTTTTTTTTTCTTTTCACTGATGCCTCAACACACCACCCACAGTTTTCCTCTTATCTAATTCTATGGTTTACCTTGTGTTTCATAGACCCATCAGCTGACATGTCCACTTCCAGATATCAACACAGTCACTTCCTCCGTTATACATTCCTGTCCAAGTCCTACTTTCATTAGGAAATAGTCCCTATCCCTCCTGGATAGTCTAACCTGAGCTTCACTCTATAAAACTTATTGCATTTAACAACCTATCTCATGTTGCATACATTTGTAACATCTGCCACATAGCTTCCCTATCCACCCTATTATATACCCTTTCTAAATTCATAAATGCAAAATAGCTCCTTACCCTTATACCCTTATCTAATCACTACTCACTTATATCTTCATTATAAACACATCCTCTACCCATCCTGAATCCTCTACTCTGTAGACCTACTTTCTGTCTTATCCCTAATCCTCTTATATGAAGGAACTATGCTTGCTCTCTCTCAGTTCTTTGGTACATTCCCATCTTTCATGCATATATTTAAGAAATGCCAACCACTACAACACTATATTCCTGGCTGCTTTTAACACTTATCTTAATTCCATCTAATGACTTGTTATGCATTTTGTATTATTGTAACCCTTCTTAGATGATAATCACCTTATTCATATAAGATATTTGAACACCTCTTGGCTAGTTTAACTAAGTTTTTCATATTACCTATTGTTTCAAAATGACTGATTTTTTCATTGAAATTCTGATTGTACTGCAAAACAATGTACTAAGTTGCTTGTCTTTCCTACCTGCTGTGAATTATATTTCTTATAGCTGAATCATCTTTATGCATCCTGAATTGCAGCTTGTTTTTGAATTCCTTCAACAACATTCTTTTAGTAATTTTCTTTAAACTGTATTACACAAGTGTATTTAAGGAATACTTATGATAATATTTTCTTCCTTACGATTAAAGTGTTGCATTAGTTTATGATGATTTAAATGTTACAGTAAATATATCAGCTGCGTTATTCAGTGTGAACGTGTGTGTTTGTGCTCATTGATTTGTACTCGCCGATTTGTGTTTGTGGGGGTTCAAGACTTGACTATTGGCCCTACCTCGAACTACTATGATTGGCATCACTAATTTCTGTCCTCTTGGGCCTTCTTGTTCTGTTTTTGAAGCTGTGTATTAAATTTATCTCCACCACTGCCTCATCAATTCTGAGACTAAAGAAACACTAAACTTCCTTACATGCCTGTGGATCATCTGTGTCTTCAGCCTCCATATGTTTGTGTGTATACAGTTAACTATATGTACATACCTAAATTTGCTTGCAGGGTTTGAGTCTTGGCTCCTGGCCCTGTTCCTTACCAGCTTTACTTCCTCTTAGCCTTATGGGTTCTGCTGTACCTACTTTTAACACTGTATAGAGCCTGCCTACATCTTCACCCATGTCATTCCACTTACTGACCACCCCAAAGCCAGAAATACTTCCTTATATCCCTATAGCTTCTGTGTCATTAACTTCCAACTTTACCAATGTGTACTTGATTCCTGCTTCTCAAACAGTCTATCCCTTTTGTACTCTTATCAGTTTCCTCTGAGTGTTTTGTTATCATGTCTCCCCTAGTCCTTCTGTTGTCTAATGTCAAGTTCACTTGACATTAGCACTTCGGTTTTGAGCTCAAGGTCTGTGCTGTAGTGGAGGGGAGGAGGGATAGGGGTCATCCTAGGAAAGGATGGAGGGAGGGGGGTAAAAGAGGTTTTGTGTGTAAGGGGCTTGGACATACAGCAGGCATGTGTGAATGTGTTAGATAGAAGTGAATGGAGACAAATTGTTTTTGGGATCTGATGAGCTGTTGAATCCCTTCAGGGTTAGCCAGATTTGAGTCCTGGAGGTGGGAAATACAATGAGTGAACTTTAAAGGAAGGGTTTGGAATATTGGCTGTTTGGAGTAACATCTGAACTGTCGTATCTGGGCACCTCTGCAAAGACAGCGATTATGTGTGAATGATGGTGAAAGTGCTTCTTTTTTGGGTCACCCTGCCTCGGTGGGATATGGCTGGCTTGTTCAAAAAAAAAAAAAATAATACGTATGTGTATCAGTATGGGACCAAGGAGCTAGTAACCCCTTCTCCTATATAAATTACTAGATTAAAAAAAAATTAATTTTTAATTTTTTTTAGGTCACCCCGGTTTGTTGAGAAAAAAAAATATGGCGAATATCACCACTCTTCCTTTAGAGTGCAGGCACTGTACTTTCCACCTCCTGATAACCAGTTTCCCTGAATCTCTTCACAAAATGTTACCTTGCTCACATTCCAACAGCTTGTCAGCTCCTATCTATCTAACATGCTTAAACATGCCTGCTGGATGTCCAAGCCCCTTGCACACATAACCACCTCTCTCTATCCTATCCTAGGACAACCCCTATCACATCTTCCCTTCACTACAAATTTATACACCCTCTAAGTCATCCTATTTTGTTCCATCCTTTCTAAATGACCAAACCACCTCAGTAACCTCTCCTCAGTCCTCTGGATATTTTTAGTAACCCTGCTTCTTCCCCTAATCTCCAGACTACAAATTCTTTGCTTAATATTTACAGGGTTTGACATAAATGGGGAGAAATCAGAATGGGGGCACATCACAAGTGGTGTTCCACAGGGGTCAGTGTTGGGCCCCTTGTTGTTCACAATTTACATAAACGATATAGATGAGGGAATAAATAGCGACATAAGCAAATTTGCTGATGACACCAAAATAGGCCGTCCAATTCTTTCCATTGAGGACATTAGTGCACTCCAGGATGATTTGAATAGACTGATGCAATGGTCGGAGAAGTGGCAGATGCAGTTTAATATAGACAAATGCAAAGTGCTAAATGTTGGACAGGACAATAATCATGCCACTTATAAACTGAATAGTGTA